CAAAAACCAGCACGATATAAAAGTTAGGCACAGGGTAATGTCGCAGCGTAATGGCTTTCGGTATTCCTGGACGCTGGCCAAGCAGATTGAAAAGAACTTCTCACACAGTAGCCTTCCACCACTTACGTGTCAGGATGGAACTATTGCATTCGACTCAAAGGCCAAGGCGGAAGTGCTAGCCAAGATCTTCGCTGCCAACTCCATCATGGATGTCCCCCCCCAACGCCCAAGTGCCCCACACTATGCGGGAGGTAACATTCAGGCATAAGACCATAAGACGAGTGCTCTTGTTGCTCGACATCATCAAAGCTTCTGGTACGGACTTGATTCCTGCCATTGTACTGAAGAGGTGTGCAGCGGAGCTTGCTCCAGTCCTTTCGCGTCTCATCCAGATATCTTATGAATCCAGCACCTTCCCAGAAAACTGGAAATTTGCTCATGGCCAACCCATCCCAAAAAAGGGATCTAAGACCAACCCTTACAACTGCAACAGGCCTATAGCTCTGCTTTCTGTTATAAGTAAAGTGATGGAGAGGTGCATAAATCGCGAGCTTCTGGGCTACCTCGAACGTCCCAGCTTGATTAGCGACAGGCAGTGTGGTTTCCGGCACCAAGTATCCACAGGGGACCTCCTAGCTTACGTCACGCAATTGTGGAATAAACTCATCCAGTCTTATGGTGAGGCTCATGTCGTTGCTCTTGACATCACGAAAGAGTTCGATCAGCTGTGGCACGCTGCCCTCTTAAGCAAACTTCCAAGCTATGGCCTCCCAGAAAAGCTTTGCATATGGGTGGCTGACTTTATCTCTGGCCGCAAGATATCCGTCGTAATTGACGGGTTCTCCTCTTCATCTCACAACGTCAACGCGGGTGTTTTCCAGGGATCGGTCTTGTCTCCAACACTGTTTCTCTTACATATCAACGACCTCCTTTCCTGCACGATCAACCCAATCCACAGCTTCGCTGATGACAGCACTCTACATGCAGGAATTCAGAGTGACAAGCCGATCTCCGCCGCTGAGCTGGAAAAAAGAAGACTAGCGACGACTTCCTCTCTGACGAGAGACCTGGAGGCTGTCACTGCTTGGGGACGCAACAATCTTGTACAGTTCAATGCTTCCAAAACACAGTACCTACTGTACTTTGACGAACAAAAAGCGTACTACCGCTCATCCAGTTTCGATGGACGGCCGAGTTCTGCCAAAGAGCCATTCATTTCGGCTGGTCGGAGTCCAGATCACCGAGGACCTGATCTGGCACGAACACATTTCGTCAATAGTTGCAGCTGCTGGGAAAAAGCTAGGCTATTTGATTAGGGCTAAGAAGTACTTTTCTCCGCATGACCTTCTCACTCTATACAATTCCCAGATAAGGCCTAGCCTCGAGTATTGCTCACACGTTTGGAGTGCTACCAGCCCGACTACATTATCCATGCTCGATGCTGTCCAGAGGAGGGCGGTCCGACTGATCGATGACTCTTCTCTAACAGACAGTCTCGGGACTCTTTCGCACCGGCGGACCGTCGGCGATCTAGCTCTTTCCTATCGCTACACCAACGGGCATTGCTCCTCAGAACTCTCTTCATCCTAACCGTGTTGAACTTCGTACATCCAGAACTGGCCGATACGACCGCTCCTTTGTCCCCAGGTTGTCGAGATTGTGGAACAATCTACAAGAGGAAACTTTTCCCAGTTCTACTAACCTTAGGCAGTTCAAAAATCGTATTAACAAAATTTCTTTGGGATCATCATAGCAGCCGCGCTATTCCGGCATTTAGGCTTCTGCCTGCGCGACTGCTTCGATATAAAAAAGAATATTCGGCGCGAATTCATTCGAACGTCTCGTCTAGCAAAATTTTTGTTGGAAACCCTATCGTCTGGTGAAAAAGCGCGAGATCAATAAACTTGTCTAGCTGCAACGTCAAATTAAATTTATTGCCGAAAAAGCTGTAATTATAGCAAAAATATGCAACGCCTTCTAGATTTTTGTTGAAGTATGCAACAAACATGGAAAATAGGCTTAATATTCAAATGCAAATGCATATAACCCGCTCTCGGTAAGACTATACTTTAGCGCATATCGCAAATACTTCATTTCTTACTTTAAAATGAAAGATTAGAATGTAACTTGCAGGAAAATATAATTATTTCTTTAAGGATCTCTCTGCTTGCTATTTTGGTGGTAATACTCTTTTTTTTTGCTTTTTGTACAAAATGATGCTCTAAATTATAAGAATATAACATACACTGCATAGTACTGTAATCCATCCTGTATAACTATGCCGAAATATCAACATGTTTCTAAGTTTCTATATTTATGTATCTCCAGACTGATGTAAACAAAAAAGGGTCGAGTCAGGTAGATGCTTGGGCTGTAAGAGGCAGTGTGAAATAGATTATCTTGCCATACACATCTATTGTTAATTTCTTTCCTTGTGGCGTGAACCTAATTACAGTATTAAGGAAAATAGATGTAAAACTGTAAAAAATCGGTGTTTTTTTGCAAAAAAGGTTCAAAATCAGCCGTGTTATTACACATTAGCTTATTAGCTAAAACAACAGTTCAAAATACATACGTAAATGATGGTATTTGCTTGGAAAAACTGTGTAGAGGTATTAAGTTGTGATTTTTCAAAGTCTTCTTGAAATTTCTTAACCATTTTCTTTCTCGTATCTTCAATGAGATCACAGTTTTTGCGTTTATAAGAAATATTTGAAAGTACAAACAATTCTGAATCGCCATTTTATAACGTTCATTTCTTGACAGATAATATAAATGATTTCCATTGTTGCCAAGTTGTACCTTTTCGGGAGAAAATGCCTTAATTTATTGTAAATGGCTTGTTTTATGAGAAGTTGACCCAATATTTACCGAAATCTAGATGAAATTTTGAACAGTATATGTATAAACGGTGGAAAATGAGCCAGCGGCTCGCGTGTCATAGAAAATACAAAAGGTCATTGCATATAAAAAACCAAACTTCGATTCGTCGATTTGGACCACCTCGCTGAGTCCACCCAACATATCATCGTCCAACATTATGGTTAAATAAAGATCAACGATCATTTCATCAAATCATCAAAAAACTTGCAATGTTATTTGTTATGTTTTCAGTATTTAGTGATTGGCGACATATAGTTTTTTAGTTATTTCTCATATACATATATCATATTCAATTAGGTATATTTTGTGACATCAGCTTCACTTTAAATAGTTCTTCAAGTACATACATACAAAAAGTCAATAGATATAATATAGGAAAAACAATAACCGAAGTACCCTTGTGAAGGGCATAAGGCATTCTTCAAAAAAGTCTCTTTAGCTAACGCTATCGTAGGGCATGAGGTGGATTTAGTACACTAAAACCTGCCGGCCACTCCTCCAAATCGCATTTTAATGACAATCCTGTGCCGATTGCAAATTTTTCCGCTAGTATATGTATAAGTAGATAAGAATTTGACAAACCAAATTAGGGTATATAACTATACATGATTTGGCAACATCGCAACTAGATGGAGAGAGTAGGATAGTGATGGTGGTGTAGTGATAGAAATATTTATCTGAAATAAAACAAATTACTACTTAACAATGAACTGTTTTCATCATTAAAATAATGCAAAATTGCATTATTGTGATGAACAGTGTCACTGTAATTTACATTGTATGTTATATTCATATAATTTTGAGCAATCTTTTGTATAAACAAGAAAAAAACAGTTTATAAAGCAGTATTCTATACCACAGTATTACCATACAAAGTGCAATTTTGAAGTTCTATAAAATAGCAAGCAGAGGGTTCCTTGAAGAAAAAATGATATTTTCGTGCATCCTAATCTTTCATTTTAAAATAAGAAATATAATATTTGCGATATGCGCTAAAGTATAGTTCAGCCCCCGGTCTCTAATTATCATCATTCATATTAGTTATACGTCCTATATTAGCAGCAAAGTGCTCAGACCGCCTTTGGCTTGCTCTTTAATAATTTTAATAATTCGTAAACTTCAATACCAATAATAGATAATATGTCTCTACTCTGCAAGCATATGTCCACAGTGACATTTATTAGTAGTTGGGGGGCATTAATTAGAGTGCCTTTTTGGACTTGCATTTGCAAGATGAGGACTTTGCGTTATTTTTTAGTATGTACTTTGTTTTCAAGGTTACTTCATAAAGTTGGCTATTTACAGGTTCTTGCGTCTGTTATTGTGTTGTCTATTAGTAGTAATAATCCTTTGTTCTCTCATGCTCACTATGTCAAAGGTTCGGGTTACCAGTGGAGACATGATGAATAGATCCTCTCGAGCGATATTAATTTTCGTCGCACGTATATACACAAACATACACACATACCTAATATATGTATCTTGTGCAGCTTGTTGGGTACAGAGACATGCAGTCACAGTAATTAATACATGTATCGGTGACGGACACCATTGAGCCCGCAAATACGTCAGTATCCATGTATCCAGTGCCTGATGCTATGCTATTTAGTCAAGGTTAGAAATTATAGATAAAGCTTACGGAGTACTATAAATTCAAGCTGCCTTACCTTTCTGAAGAAAATCGAACCGAGAGCCTTTTTTACTTCCCTCACGAATTGGCGAGGGAGTATTGTAATCGCAATTTTTGTAAAATGAGATACTGTTTTTGGATCTTACATGACATGTACATCGAAAAAAACTACCAATCTTTTCCGTCGATCTATGTATCTGTATCGGTCTATCTGTCATCTGACTCTTGGCCCCTATATAACTTAGAGAGACTGAGAGATTGCTCGAATTTTGATGCAATTTTGACACAAAGGTAGTACGACGGTGGGTCAGTTAGTTCGTGACTTTTTGAATTTCCCACCTCTAAATTCTGCTTCTGTCAACAAACATCTGTCAATTGTGAAAATGGACAAAAGTGAATTTCGAGTACCTACTCATCAATCATTATTTTTTATGAGAAAAGAAACATCACTAAAATCAAGGATAAGCTTGATAAATACTATGGGGACTCTGCGCCATCAATTTCAATGGTAAAACAGTGATTTACTGAATTTCGTTCTGGCCGTACAAGCATGAGAGATGACGAACATTCTGGAGGCTCAGTTGAGGTTCCTACACCCGAAACGATTGAACAAATTCACGATATGGTGTTGGCCGATCGAAGACTGAAGGTGCGGGAGATTGTAAAAGCGATAGGCGTATCACATGGCTCAATGGTTTCGATTATGAAGGATCACTTGGGTATGAGGAAGCTATCCACAAGGTGGGTGGCGCAGTTGCTCACAACAGACCACAATTGTGTGACAACTTCGAAGGAGTGTATGGCGTTGTGCAACCGCAATATAGACGGTTTCGTAACCGGGGACCATACATGAATTCACCACAACACACCACCTAACTAGCAATTTGCTATATTTTATAATTTTCGACTGTCCGTGTTGTTTTATTTCATAATTGCTTTATTACTGCTCTTAGAATGCAATTTTGTTTTAATATAATTGCCAGTAACATTAATCTTTTAGGAAGTATTTCGCTTTATAAGGTAGTCGTGAGAATGTTTTTAAAGCAAAAACACAAAACAGTCTTAGAACAAATTTTAATACTGTTTTATAACGTTTACATAACAATTTTATAAGACATTTAAGCTTACTGAACATTATATAAGATTTATACTGGTATTATCCGATAAAAGTTTATTAGTTTGCGAATATCAATAAAATTGTTTTATTAGCTCTCTGTGGAACAATTGAAGATACAAGTGGTGTCATGTAACAAAATCATTGTATGGAGAAAATTGAATCTAATATTTTTTATTGGGACTTTTTACTTTATTTCATTTTAAACATTTAGTTTGATTAGTTTATTATTATCTTGTTTTTGCAACAAAGTAATCACATAATGAAAGAGTTACTCTTTAAGGTTAGTTTAATCCAAGAAACCAATTTTAAAGAAAAATGTTACATGACACTTTTATCCACCTGTTTCTTCAATTATATAATTTATTTATTAATATTTTCTTTCTGATATTGTCGCTAGCTCATCACTTTGCACTCTCGAACTAGGAAAGGTGTTTTAAAATTTTCAACTGTCCAGGGTCGGTTAAATTGAGGCGAGAATGTGGATTTCTCTGCTTAACATTTATCCGGTTTAAAATTAAACAAATTTAAAGACGTTCCAGAATTATTCGGAAAAATGAATAACTCATTTATTTTTGTAATAATATTTATAAATGCTTTTGTCTCCTCATAAACATTTTTTTGTTTTACGATAATTATATGACAATTTTTTAAGGTTCCACCTGAATGCAATATGCTTCAGCGGGCGATAGCATCAGAAAAGAAAATATTAATAAATAAATTTTGCAAATGTTTCATATTGCGCTAATAAAACAATTTTAGTCACGTTCTCAAACGAATAAGCTCGTGTCAGATAGTACCAGTATAAATTATGAAAAAAAGAAATTGCTCAGTAAGTTTAAATGTTGTATCAACTTTGTTTTGCGTTCTTGCTTCAAGATCGTTCTTACGACTACCATATAAAGCAAAATACTTCTTAAAAGTTGAATTGTCTTACTGGCAACTTTATTAAAACAAAATTGTGTTCTAACAACAGTAATAAGACAATTATGAAATAAAATAGCACGGACAGTTGAAAATAATAAAATACCTTTACTAGTTGTCTTAATTTACGTACGTTTAGGCACCCTGTATACACGCAGGGACTTTTTTGGATTAACCCTTTTTTCATGGGTTACATCTCTCAACTAAAATATACACATAAGGTAATTATTTTATTAAAATCGATTTTAAAGCAAAAGCGTTTTATAAGAACTCTCAAGGTGTAAAATTATTTTATAACCTGGAAGCCATATTTTGTGTTATTTCATTTTAGGACGATTTTTTTTAAGTGTATTACAAAAAATCATTGTTGCAATGATAAAATGTCTTCATTTACTACTTTAGTGTTTATATAATGGTATAAGATGGTGGATGGTGCATTGGAATAAATTACTTTATTACAATACAGCCCAGAATAAGAGAAATACAGAATGAAAATTTTGACCATTTCTCTTGAAATTCAATAATAACAAATATATATTCTTGAGGCGCTTGAAAGTTTTACTACATACATATATCCCAAATATTATACGAAAAATCTCTTGCGCAGTAAAATATCAACCATCAGATTGTCTGTCTGGTATTGGGTGTTTATATTAGAACTAAATGCAACATGGCTGATGTACTTACTCAAACGTATTTTACTCGTATTTGCTAAAAAAGATCTTATGCTTGTCTTTTTAGTGTATCAAGGATCAAAAACAGTGGATGCAATATAACATCAAAAGCCAACTTTTAGTGTTAGTCAAAACATGCATATAAGATAAAACTGTCTTATTCTAGTTCTATAACTGATTTTAATAATTTAATAATTGTTGCATACTATGTTTTATAAAAAGTTTAAAAACGTTTAAACCATTATTCGGTAAAAGCTGTGGGAACCATAGTAAAACAAATTAAAGAACAAAATTGCTGTACAAGAGTGCGCCCTTTTTGGGCTTATAAGCGTTGTATAAACGATATTAGAACGTTTATATCGGCAGTGTTGTTTTATAAAAATTGTTCTATAAAACGTTGTTCGGACATTTATAAAACATAAATTCTTTGTTGGGCAGATATCAAGCATCAGCCAAAACGGTTGGCTTTTGCAGGCGAATCGGCGCCGAAAAAGGTCACGGTGGGTTTGTCAGCTAATAAAGTCACGGCAACAGTGTTTTGGGATGTACGTGGTATAATCCACATTGATTACCTTCAAACGGGAAGAACAATCAATAGCGAATATTATGCCAACCTATTGGACCGATTCAATGACGATTTGAAGAAAGAACGACCAGATTTGGCCAAGAAAGAAGTTCTTCTCCACCAAGACAACGCAAGGGTGTGGTCTCCATGGCGAAATTGCATGAACTGGAATTAGTCCCTCATTCGCCTTAGTATCTGGATTTAGCACCAAGTGACCATTTCTGGTTTCCAAACCTAAACAAATGGCTCAGCAGAAAGGGATTTGACTGCATCATTTCACAATCAAATGTCTATTTTGAGGACCTCGACAAATCTTATTTTTTTGGACGGGACAAAAAAAAAACTGGAGAAATGTTGGACGAAGTGTATAGAACTCAAAGGCGTCTATGTTGAGAAATAAAATGATTTATTTTGTCAAAAAACCTGTCTTTAATTCTAAAAGACACGGATTTATTTAATCGACCTCGTAGTAAGCCAAGGATGAAACACCCTTGTAGGTTTAGTAGGAAATCGACAAACTTCGTTTTTTGACGTTTCCGAAATTCCTGCTAATTTAATTTTAATTGTTCGCGATTCTTCTAAAAAATAGCACTTGAAGATTACCAAAAAAGTTTACTCTTATTTTTCAAACTAAGGTACAAAGCAGTGCTTTACATAAAATGTGATGGTCTGTAGTGGTATATTCTGGACAATGGTATTTATTACATATTAGATTTTTCACATCTTACTAAAAAATTTCCGACTTTTTGGTTCAATTTTTTGATTTCATCAAATCACTAGTAATGAATGAATATCACCATCTGTATTAAAGTTTCTCTAAACTGAGTGGTACTTATTTTAAAATACCAACTATTTTCGGAAAGTGTAAAGTCTTTGATATGCGAAGTTAATCGTAATTGGAATGGACAATGCCGACCCACTTATAAATACAGGACGAAGTGAATAATAGGTAGTGAACAAAGCAAAAATACTTTACGGATGAAAAAAAACAAACCAACGGCTAATGCATTTCTTGACCTTCCAGTTCTTTTGTACATTTTGTGAATGTCTCTTCAACTTCTCTTTGAAGCTGTGGAAAGTCTTCAGATTCTGGTCTAAGCTGTCGTATGAAGTTAGTGCATTGTAGAAATGGTAACCAAGATTCTTAAAGTGGCCAGTAATGATGTTTGGTTTTCCATTCATAACTCCGCTGACAATCGACCGATTTTCCGAACTAATGAATCCTTTCCGTCCTTGGCATGATAATATTGTCAAAATTCCATCGAAATCAGAGCAGTTTTTGCGTGTTATAGAAGGGCAAAGGATTAATAAACGGGTGACCAACACCCTGACCGATATATAGACCGACGAAAACGAGTGACTTGATTTTTGTGATGTATAATTACATGATCAAACGAACATACCTGTAAGTGATGTTCGATCTTAATTATGTGAAGTCCTCGTCAAAGTAAATATTTAGAATACATATCGTAGTACCCTCGTAGTAGTACCCAACCGCCACGATTACAAAGCGCGCACGCAGAGAAGGAAAGCGGCACCGCACATCTTCCTCCTACCTTTCTCCCCTCTGGCCGCCTATAAACCTTCATTTACTTCAAAGCCAAGTTGTTGCAACAACTAGGTGATACGTAGGGAGAGAGGGAGCTATTTACTTCGACGAGGACTTCACATAATTGAGATCGAACATCACTTACCGGTAAGTTCGTTTGATCATGTAATTATGTTCCGTCCTCGTCGAAGTAAATATTCAGAATACATATCGTAGATGTTCAAAGCTAGCTGCAACAACATACTACTAACGCTCTGCAATAGTAAATGATAGGTTGTACACAACTACACAAATTGTACGCAATGTATGTGTCAACTAAATGTATATTTCCAATGTAACAATTCAAGTTAAGGTCTTTAGCAACAGGTAATATGACGTACCTGCTTCAAAAATTACCATCCATTTCATGGTAATGAGCAAATAACGTAATAACATAGTTATGTTTAAGGTGTGGAGACTTGGCTCACCTCAAATGCCGCTTGAGCAAAGCTGTTGTTTGGCATAAAAGATTTGTGACGTATCTCAGAAAACGTACTCCAGCCCGCCGCAAGCCTGAGGCTACTATAACTTAGCAGGCGGAGAGGTAGACGCATTTCATGTACTGTGGGTTGTCAATTGTGGCACTCTCTGCTAAGACCGACTTCATCCATCTGGGAGCCGAGGCACCATGATAAATTTACTGTACAGTGACAAATAAATACTTTGCACAGATATTTGGGCATGAAATACGGTAAAACTTGAGTGGTTGCCACATGACTGACTCCGAGACTTTTTAAAAATTGCGAAATCCCATTTTCAGTATTATTCAACCCAATCCGGATGTTGTCTGTTTCAATTAGTTTGCACACTCTGACCTGAGGTTAGAGCTAGCAGTGTTGCTGATTTCCTCATCAAAATATCTACAGAGCTTACCAGTAACCCCTTTGGGCGGTTGAGAACAACCACCGTATCTATATTTCAGTTGAGATGGTCTCAGCCTGTAAATGCCCATCAAACACCATCTTATGTCTGCATCGTTAGTAACATTTTGGTTAAAAGACTGATAGCACAAACAATTATATCTTGATCTCTTATCACCTGTAAGGTAAGAAATTTCAAGGTAGGAAACCAGACATGTATTTCTTCCCGACAAAGGTCCTACCATAATACAATACATGATGGATTATCGATGTTGATTGGAATGACAGCTTTCCAGTGACGATAACCAGGGTAAGCTTCAGAATTAGTGGGAGCGGCGTCCTGGGTCCCTCCATCAGATCCTTGCGTTACTTCTAGAAGTGAAATTTCAGAAACACCGAATACTTGAACCAAAATCAGGACGGTGACAGGTGCAGCTCCCACTCCGTTTCCACGTCCTACTGACGCATAAGCTCATCTGTACCAGTATTACCCCTAGATTTTATATTTGACGCGAGGGCAGTAAGATTTCTCTCTTTACACAATTGCCATAGTTTTCCCACAACCTGGTGCAGACGTGGAAACTAGAAGCTCTCCATTCTATTGATGTAGGATGGAGTATAATATGCGACAGCCGATCAATTCGGTAGCAAAGCATTCACCACAAGAAAACTACCAGTGGTTCTTGATGATTAGCATGCGAGATCTTCTCGGGTGACCAAAAACTAGAGACTCCTTCCTGGCAAACGAATGTCCCAGTCCGAGAAATTTACGAGAACAACTAAAAATTGGATAATTCAATACCTGTGACCGCATCTGCCAGTTTCTTTGAGCCCCAGCCGAGGTAGACCTTAAGTTATATTATGTTAGTGGCATAGTAGCGGTAAAATTCCCTTGAGAATTTTACAAGGCAAGAAATTTCACTCGTTAGTGTATAGTCGGCTGTAATGAAATGAAAGACAAGCTGACACCAAGATCCCGATGTTCACCGCAAAGTTTCGGACTCTGTCTTGGTTGCTGTCCATTTTTGCCTTTACTAGGTTTAGTAATGTCTGCATCGTGCGCTCAAGTAAAGTTACTTTCTTTCTTTCACCATTTAATACTGAGCCTGAAAGTGCTCAATTTTTTCTTAAAGTATTCCAGAAATGGTTTTATTAACTTTGTGAACACATAAGGGGTATAATTTAACCTAAACGGTACAGCATTGTATTGGAAGAGCTGTCCCTTGAATATGAATCTGAAATATATATTCTATGACTCTCTCTAACGCATACCAAAATCCCTGCATATTCCAAATCCAGATTCGTTAAGAAAGTATCTCTACGGAGAAGTCTGATCCCAGTTCAATAATCTAGACTTAAGTGTTACATCCCTATAAACAGACAAAGTGTCTTGAGGTAAGGAATCAAACGTGTTGACCCATCAGACTTAGGGGCAAGAAAATGTTGGATAGGTGCTGATTTTTAGTTAGCTCAACTTTTTTACTGATAGCACCGCAGCTAAGCAATTCATAGATGGACTAATGATTCAACTATGGCAAAGTGCTAAACCAGTCGCCATTTGAATGGCAAGTGATCGCTTGAGTCCAGCTCAGGACTTTAGCGCCACTAGTAAAGCTCTGCCATTGATGATGAATACGCGTTAATGTCCATGCTCATCTACACATCTCATCTGCAATAGTGGGTTGATGATGTCAGTACGTTGTATGGCCTTTTGGCCTTCAGTTGTTGATCAGTTTATCTAATTTCTATTTAGAATTGACTTACTTGGTCAGACCTACACCAAGAGCAAGACATCACTAGAAGCATCTGTCAGAGTACTTCTGAGTTCTTTGTTTTAATGGGAATATCTGCCAGCATGCACTCCTCACCCTTTTCTGAACCTAGAGGATAGAGTATTGCCACTTGCAGCTAATGAAAAGCTCACATGTTGCTGTACAAGCACGCATCCCTGCGTGAGACAATCCCTATTATGGCTTCCGTTACCTCAGGGTTCACCTTAGGTGGCTAGAATAGAACAGAATTCATCTATCGTCATCAACAAGATCTGCCCTCGAAATGTCAGCCTTGGAACAACGCGCGAACATTAATTATACAAGGTCGCGGCATCATCGTGGTGATGCGTCATCTATTGAAACTGACTACATGGCCTTTAAGAGAACACAATGCAGAGCGCCCTGCTGTTCGAGTGCCACCTATGTAAAATGTAACGTTAATCGGGCATAATGATATTTAACTTCCGTTATTACTGAACATTAGAACTTTGGTGGTTTCCTAACCGGAGATGTTCATACGTACAGTCTTGTTCCATAGTTATTACGAGCCATGTGGAATTTGCTATCACAAGCAAAATGTAACGCTAGTCTACCATAGGTGTACCTAATTTCTATATGTTGTTAATGAAAAATAGTACGTCAGCTGTCTCGTAACCTGTCATGTGCATATTATTGATCTCTTCGATGGCTATTCCAAACCATATGGAATTTGCTATCACAAGCAAAATCTAACGCTAGTCTACCATAGATGTTCCTAATTTCTATATGTTGTTAATGAAAAATAGTACTTCAGCTGTTTCGTAACCTAGCGTGCATATTATCGACCTATTCGATGGCTATTCCAAACCACAAGGAACTTGCTATCACAAGCAAAATGTAACGCTTGTCTCGCATAGATAAAACCTAATCTCTATCTGTTATTAACGAAAAATGGTACATTAGTGGTGTCCTAAACTGTCATGTGCTTTCTGACAAAGATATTCCAAGGTTATCACAAACCAAATGAAATTTGCTATCACAGGCGAAATGTAACGCTAACCTCGCGTAAGGTGCATATTCTTTATCTGGTGATAAGAAAAAGATATACATTGGCGGTTTTCTAACCTGACATGTTCATAATTACACACCTGTTCCACGGTAATCACAAACCACGTGGAATTTGCTATCACAAGCAAAATGTAACGCTAGTCTCGCATAGATGTAGCTAATCTCTGTCGTTCATTAATGAAAAAGGGTACTTCGGCTTCTTCCTAACTTCTCATGTGCATCCTTACAATATTGTTCCATAGTTATCACAAACCAGATGGAATTTGCTATCCCAAGCAAAATGTACCGCAGATCTCACATAGTACCTAACTTTTATCTATTATAAATGAAAAATCTTATATTGCATTACAAACCAGATAGAATTTGCTATCCCAAGCAAAATGTACCGCTCTAGTCTCACTTAAATGTACCCAATTTTTATCTGTTATAAATGAAAAATGCTATATTGCTACGTTGCTTCTACAAACTAGATGGAATTTGCTATCTCAAACAAAATGTAACGCTAGTCTCGCATATACTCGTATGAACCAAATCTTTATTTGTTATTAATGAAAAATGGTACTTCGGCGGTTTCCTAATCTGTCTTGTGCATTCTTATTATGGTGTTCCAGGGTTATCACAAACCAGTTGAAATGAAATCACAAGCAAATGAGAAAAGATTTTTGACCATACCTTGTTGCTACGTTGTCCCAAATGCTTTCAGTGTTGTTATTTGTGCAACGAAGTTCAGTATTGAGTCATTTTTCCAAACATCTACATTCGTCCTTGGTGTGGACTATCACAAGCTATGTCCATGTTGCTATCCCAAGCAACCGAGTCCAATGTTACAACGTTATCCCAAATGTCTTCGTTTATCCTTGCTGTGGAGCCGACTAGTCCCAAGTTAGGTCCACCTTGCTATCCCAAGTAAACGAGTCTAAAGCTTCCACTTTATCATAAACGTCATCGTTCGTCCTTGGTGTGGAGCTGATTATCCCAAGCCAGGTCCACGTTGCTATCCCAAGCAACCGAGTCCAATGTTTCAGCGTTATCTCAAACGTCTTTGTTCGACCTAGGTACGGAGTTGGCTATTACAAGCTAGGTCAAGGTTGCTATCCCAAGCAACAGTGTCAGAACCATCCATACTAATATTCATTTAACTTGCACCTAAAACAGATCGGTTAGTTGACAGTTACCTGATGGTGACGCCCCTTCAGAAAAAGAGGCCTGCACGCCACTTTCTAATTTTGGTCCGCGATGAAAGGAACCTTCAGGCGACCGTCGGTCGGTATCTCGTTCGACAATGCACATCTATCGGCCAACCTTCTGTCCTGTTTTCTAATTCTCAATGTTCAGCAGATCCTCGACACTGCACTGCACGTAAAAGACGCCTGTCGATTAACGTCTTGACGGTCGGACACAAGAACAAGGAATGAAGGCTTATAGGCGGCCAGAGGGGAGAAAGGTAGGGGGAAGGGGCGCGGTGCCGCTTTCCTTCTCTGCGTACGCGCTTTGAAATCGTGGCGGTTGGGTACTACTATGAGGGTACTACGTTATGTATTCTAAATATTTACTTCGACGAGGACGGAACATAATATCATATAACTCCAAAAAAGCAATATCTCAATTCCAAAATGTTCCACGATTACAAAACTTTCTCGCCAATTGGAGTGGGAAGTCAAAGCAAAGGAAGAGCTTATTCGTATTCATTTATCTGCTCGAATGGATTCTGTTACTGCGACAGATACTATTTTGCTGCAAACTGCGCTTACCTACACTTGACGGGCGTTTTTGGCATTTTCAAACTTCAGTATAAAAGCCACTACAACACTAACACTATTAAAAACCAACCCAAGAAACAAAACTATCAACACAATAATCAAGATCGAGAAAA